CATCGTCAGAAGGAAAGTTGATAAAATAAATTACAAATTTTGTATTGTTCGATACATATGTGTACCGAACCGAAAGCACTGTATCGAACGGTTCAATATCGATACGAGTATCGTTGCACCCCTACCTATGATATATTAATTTCTAATCCCTTCCTTGACCCAAACACTGCAGCAGCTAATAATAAATTCACCATCAACATCTCAGGTCTAAAAATGCTGGAGAAAAGCTCTGAGTCCTTCACGAGACTTTTAAGGGAGCTGAAGTCAGAGCTCGGGGCTAATCGCTGATTCCTTTCTCTTACCGTGAAGAGATGAAGAGCATGGTCCTCATTCATCTCTACATTCATCATCTTCAGCAGCTTCTTCACTTCTTTGAAGTTCATCTTCCCGTCTTTGTTTTTGTCAGCTTTATGAAACCAGTCCCAGACCCACCTGAGGACATGCTGAGGAAAACCCAGATCTAACATATAGCTGAGTAAATGTTTTTAAACTTCAAAAATGTCCTGCTAACTGCAGAGGGAAAGAAAAAAAGGTTAAAAGCAGACTACTTGGAGCTTTGTTTAGACGCCTGCTAGTGTGTCTGATATCAGCCAACACCAGAATAAACACCACAGTTAAAGGATACTGGTCCAGCCTCTCCTTCTCATCCATTGTTTGAGCTTTGTGAATCAGCATGCGCACACCCTGGATCCAGGCCTGGGCCTCATCTGGGGACTCGGCCACGAGGTCCAGATTTCCCTGGCGGCCGTGAAACACCAAGGTGAAGCAGAGTTCAGCAGGGAACTCCTCTGCAATGCTTAGCAGGACCTCAGACTGATGTCCTTCACGCACCGCTTCCAAGTCAGTCACCGAAACTGTAACATGATCATCACATGGAGGAAGCTCAGTGTTTGGAGGTTTACACTGATGCATTTCATATGTTTGAGGTGTGTTTTGGGATCTTGAGCTACGATGAGCTGAGTTCCTGTCATTCTGTTTCAAACAATAACTCGTTTCTAAAGCAGACGGATGCTCACCACACTGACAATTCTTGGGACTTTGCTTCTTTTTTTTTATACCGGTAACAAATATTCTCACTTTTAGTTGAGCCCAAGCACTTCGACCCAGCTTGTGAAACATTGCTGGAAACCCCTCATGTTTTAGCAAGAACACTATAGCAAGAAAACCTACAAACTAATGTTTATATGTTGTCAAATATACTTCTTAAAACAAAAGAATGCTGGAATGGTTAAACTTGGATTGGGGAGGTCAGATGGTGTATCTCTACTGTATCATCCATCAGGGGGAAACGGCTCTTTAATTTAGATGTGGGGCTTATTCTTAGTTTGTTTTTTATAAGTAATTACCCAACCTGGTTTAGATATGATGCTGCAAAATGTCATGTGGACAAAATGCAGCCTAAAGGTCATCAGGTGGTTTGACATAGTTTACAGCAGTCAGACTGTGGGGTGTGGATGACCACTCAGGAAATGCTGAGTTTAGCAAGAATAATCTGAACGAATAAGTTATGAAGTTTTCTTTTTCTAATTGCAAAATTGGGACATGCAAAAGGTTTTGAACACAGTTGTATTCTTATGAGTTTTGGCCCAGATGTGGTCCAAATGTCATGAGGTGGGCTTGATATAGATTATAGCAAGCTTTTGTAGGGCAGATGTGGCCCTTAGTACCACTGCGCACCCGTCATTTGGCCAATATGCGATGGGCCGGTGGCTGAATTGTGCTGGCCAGACAGCATTGTCACTATAGGCCAAACGAAGCCATAAGAAATACCACCATGGCTGTTAATCAATTCTTATGTAGTAAAACTCAGGCCTGCTTAGAGCCTGCTTGGCTCTGTCGGTAATCAGTTTATAAAGGACTCCACGTCTCTTTGCGAAATGTGCCTATTTGCTTTGTTGCTGACAGTTAGATGAGAACAGTAACACCATGCTCATGTATGCAATGTCCATATTTCCAGACTCAGACTCAACCTACTAAGTCTGTGAAGATTAGGACTGCTTTAAATGGCAAACAGACTGATTCTTATATGGCACTCAAAGCTATACAATATATATAATATACCTCATTCACCCATTTGCACAAGCTTCGATTAGTAGATGGACCTGCTCTACCTCCTCACAAACTTTCATTTGCATTGCCGTGGGTCTGTGGTTTTGCCTGGGGAGTTACATAATTTACACCCTTGTGTTGTTAACCACAGAGTTGTCAGGTGAACCCAAAAGCTTAAAAACAGAAGCTCTAGCAGCTCTTTCTAGCTCAGAATGAGTCTTTGTGTTGGGACTTTGCATACTGGCATGATTAGCATTAAAAAAAACTTCCTCTATCCAGAAAAACCCCTACTTACCAGGTGACATTAGTTTAAGTGACTAGGCCTCAGGGTGTGGAATGAGAATAGGCCTGAATGTGTACATAAAAATCTAAATGTGGTTAGCTTAGCTTAGCATAAAGACTAGCAACAGGGGCAACAGCTATCCTGGATCTGTCCGCAAGAAACAGCCTAAAAACATCCATCCTAACAACAACTTTTCTTCTCGAGAGGAAATGCTAAAATAAATTAAATTGCAGTGAAGGAGCATGCAAAGAAAAAAAGGGGGGTTATGTGACCCTGAAAGGGCCAGTGGGGTAGATATGGTTTGTGTCATAATGCTGCAGAAGATATAATCTTGACAGCCCTCTCCAGTACCGTCTCCCTCGCAGTACAAAGCTTCTCCCATCAGATGAGCACGGTCATGAGCATAAGCTTTATGTGCAATAAATTACATATGCTTTAAAGCCTCTTATGAGTTTTTTGTTTGTTTGTTTGTTTTTCTTTTTGGTTCATTAACCCCACAACATAAAATGCAGAAAGTGGCTTGTCTGATGATATATTTACCAAATGAATAATAAATGAATAAGGAGCTAACGTGTTATTACACACAGGTGTGCTTCTGCACTTACAGGTGGAGTGGCCTCTCCCCGCCCATCTGGACTTGTACCAGATCGTCAAGCCGTCCTCCAGAAGGCGAAAATAACGATTCTTCTTCCAGGAGCGGGACTTGACTTTCCTCAGAGTCGACCCGGCCATCATCACCTGAATGTATGGATCATCTTGGATACCTGCACAAAGATCACAAACCTCTCACACACTGCACTATCAGAGCCGGGGTGAATTTAGCAGTCAGCTTAAAGGTCAGAGCTTCTGCGTCGCAGAGTGAGCGAATAGAATTTTACTCACGTGAACCTTCAGGATCCATCTCTACGCTTGACACATACCAGTGGAAATGTGTTTCTAAAAAGAACCAGATGTCAGTGAGCGCTTCCAAATATTTCCCCCTGAATCCAAACTAAACCGATTTTGCAAAAGTTCAATCAGCAAATAATCACAGTATAATATCCATCTTTGTTTGTTCAGAAGGTGTTCTCTGGGTCTGATTTTTATCATTATGCAAACTCACTTTGCTTCTTTCCTTTAGCTTACTCAGCACTTCCCTGCTGCAGTGCTGGATAACGACCAGGCATTGAGTTAAACAACCAGACGCAGTGATGTGTGTTGGATGGTGAGAAGACCGGGCTTCTCTTGGCTGGTCTCTTTTTCACGCCGGATCACCGCAGTGAGCAACTCTGTGTTTTTGATTTGGCTGATTTTTATGCCCTTCCTGATGTAACCCCAAAGGGATTTATTTCTCCTCCCAAGATCAAACCATAAATCTTTTGCCTGTTAGGTGAATGTATAAACAATGAATCTTCAGAGCCACTGATGGTAGGAAAAATCTTTACTGTTACTTTAAACTGAAGAGTTTGTTCTGGGAGGTCTCCACTGACTCTCTGCAACTCTATCTCCAGCAAAAACAATGTGTAACGATACAGGAGATGGCAGTTTTGAAACTTCCCTATCTGATGGTCTAAAGAGGTTTAAACACACCAGTTAATAAGATAATTGATGTATAGGAAAGAGAAGTGCAATTTCAACAGTTTCTTGGAATTAAATTAATCTCTATTTTGCAAACATAGGTGCCTATATGTCTGCTAATATTTGTGTGTGGGGTGGTGTTTAAAAAGTGCAATTACTCTTTCTAGGAATCAGTTAGTCCAACAAACAAAATGCAAATCTTGTGTGAAGTTTCACTGAGGAAGTATTTTTTTTCCACTAAACCACAGTCACGAGAGGTATCACTGTCCAGGAGGGAGATCCTGTCCATTGATGATGAGAGGAGAGGCTCTTGCTTGTTATACAGTGACAGGACAGGACAGAAGAAAGAAAATAGTTCCCCAGTGAAACTATTCACAACAAGGAATTTTTGAATGTATTTTTTTATTTGATGCTTTGAGCGCACTGAGGTGAGAAACATTTAGCAGACATTTTTGCAGCTGATAGATATAAAGCTGTGAAACTCACACCAAATAAACATGTAAGTGGAGAGAAAGCACTACACAGTACAGGAAAAACATGTACATTTGATTTTAGCGGGGGACTTTGACCTTTAGCAATGATCTGCTGCTTTCAGCGTCTCATTCTGAGCAGATAAACTGACACAGTGTGTCAGTTTATTGATGTGCAATGCAGACTGGATGCTGCGTGTCAATGAAAGCTGACATTCTCCTTCTATCTCTGCTGTTCACTGATAAATGTGCATCAAAACAATCCATCTCAGTTGCTATAGCTGCTCTCTCCCAAACCTCCCCTCCACTCGGGGCAAGTTTATCTAAGCTCTCACCACAGTATGCTTGAAGTGATGTGAGGAATGTATTTGCAGTTGCTTCTCAATCCAAGAGCATTAAAGCAAAGCTTATTTTCGAAAGCTATTGGCTCAATTAACTAACGTATGTTTCGTGCTTTCACTGCAGACATTTTCACGCTCCATCCGAGTCCTTCCACCTCCTCTGCAGAAAGGTTAACACACCCTTTTTCAAAATCCAAACTTTTAAGCTGCGCTTAGCTCACGTTATGTTTTATTTTGAGGGCTGTGAGTCACACACAGTCACTTCATCAGGGAGTATACTGACCACATGCAGACACACAAGCACACAAGGACATGACTCAGGGGGATATGTTGAGCCAGCAGCTTCGGTCTTTATTCTCTGTGAATGCCTCTAATTTGTAGTTTTAATTTAAAAGTATTTAATGCATAATGCTCGATGTTCCCAGAAGCTTTGGGGATATTTACCCAGGACTCTGCACACATCCGCACACAACCCTGTAACAGATTTAAGTGAACAAGCACTGCCAGTGCTCTTTCCAGTCCAGTAAAACTATATCTAAATCTAAAGTGTAGCTGGGGGAGGGAGGATCGTGTACAGTAAATTAGAAGCAGACGCAGAAATAGGAAACATTACGAAGCATCACTTTGGCAAAGTCATGCAGCCAGCTGAGCTAAAGAAAACAAGCATGACTCATCCAAAAACAGATTTAAGTGATTTAGTATCTGAGTGAGACTTACCTAAAGGGGAAACCTCAGTAGGGTTGTGAAGTCAGACTTTCAGAGGTGGATAAGAGAAACTCACAGAGTCCAGCTGAGCTCAGCTCTCAACTCCTTTAAAGTCTGAGAGGGTCTGAAGGGAAAACTAGCCCAGCCTCTCCCCTCCCCTTTCTGCAGTCTTAATGCTAGGAAATCTGATTCCCTCGTCACTGCTCTGCTTCACTCCCACCTCCACCACCACTCCTTACCCTCCCCGTCCTCTCCACCGCCCTGCCCCTCCTGACCAGTCTTCCTTCCTTTCCTGCCACTCCCTCACGCTGCCGTCCACAGATCTCTCTTCTCAGAGTCACTCTCCTCAGTCCCTCTGTCCTTCTCTCGCACTGTGGATGCTCGGATAGCCTGACAGGTCTCTGTATCAGCACTGATAACTGGCAACACAATAGTGGGAACAAGGTCACACGTGGAAAGAAGCCAAATCGTAAAACAATGAGAAAAACATGCCGTGTGTTCTCTGTAGATATAATCGCAGAATGTGGATCTCTTTTCCTGATAAAACAATGACTCTGGCTAAGTCTGGTGATAATTACAATTACAAGAGACTGAGCAAAGACTGATAAAGTCCAATGCAGAGGCTTGATTTCCCGCTATAATACAGAGTATAACCCTCCACTGGACCCAAACGGCAACACATAAATAGAAAACACCACTTTCCCCGTTCCTGACCAGTGTTGGTCAAGTTACTTGGAAATAGTAATCAGTTACTAATTACTGATTACTTCTCCAAGAAAGTAATCCCATTACTTTACTGATTACTTATTTTCAAAAGTAATTAGTTATTTATTATTTAGTTGCTTTTTAAAAACATGATGCACAGCCTGAATACATTATAAAGCCATAGAACTTTCAGCCCAGTTCTATTTTTTCTGCATAATCCAACATATAAAATTGAATCAAATGAAAAAGTCTATTTTTAAAACTTGTTATATTAGTTTTAATCTTTTAACTTTAGGCACATTGCAACAAGCAAAAATTAAATTATATGCAACATCCTCTGATCGGAAGAAATTTGTTTAACATTTAAACCTATTTTCTGCATGAAATTTCCCCTTGTGGGACTAATAAAGGTATATCAATTCAATTCAATTCCAGCATATAAAATTAAATATTTTTTGTGTGCAAGTAAAACACAGCAAAAAAAATAAATAAAACCAAAGATTTAACAGCACTAAGTCCTGTTGCTCTTAAATCTATTTTCACCTGTTTAGCAGGAGAGGGGCTGGTGGAGGTTTGCCCGGTGCCCGGTGCGGTCATGTCAGTGGGGGGGATCCGGGGGTTTCTCTGTGAATTTCACGTTTCCATGACAGAGTGCTTGGGGCTTGCTCAGATTTGAAGTTTAATTTTTTTGCTGTAGTGAGAAGTTTTCTTTTCACGCAGACTTTACAGTGAACGCTAAGATTTTTGTCACTTTTTATGGAATCAAACTCAAAGTAATGTCAGTACGTCCAAGCCTTAAACTCTGCATGGTCGAGTTTGTAGAGTGTGTAGATCAATCCATTGTTGATCTACACACGCCTGTTGCTACCACAGATATCTCACACACGTACGTCATCGTCATGAGACACTCTCACAAACAAAATCATGGTTTAGTAACGCAGCATGCTTATGAGAAAGTAACAGTAATCTAATTACTTTTTTGCAACAGTAATACCTTACGTTACTCGTTACTTGAAAAAGTAATCAGATTACAGTAATGCTTAACGTGCTACTTCTTATCTCTGTTCCTGACGCAGTCCAGCTGATGTACCCGTTGCACCCTGCTGCACACTTATAATGACTGTAGCTACTTTACCTCATGAACAGTAAACAGAGAAAATCACAGAGTGCATACTTAGGAACATCTCCCCGCGGGACCGGATACGCTCTGAAATGGAGACCAGGTGATGCAGGCTGTCCATCTCAGTCATCGAGGTTAATGGAACCTGTGGGGGCAACGATCTGATAATGTACCGGTAAAAGGAAATGAAAGCTCATTAGTGAAGTATGCAGGGCTGTTGGATGGAGCTCATCACTCAAGGGAATTCAGGTGAGTCATAAAGGGACAGAAAAAGAAACAAACTTCAAAACTTTGACTCCAGTCAAATGTGGAAACAACGGCAACAACCAAACTTCTGGTCATCTAAGCTACACATTTTGACGCTGATACTCAAACTGATCATTTATTAACATTTATTTGCAAGATAACTTTAGTATATTTAATAAAGCCATGCAAATCTTTACCATCTTTTTATGAATATTTATCAAGTTACAGGCCCTCAAAGTATGTGGGAGTTGGCTCTTTTTAATTCTCCTCAGTTTTCCAGCAATTTGCAGCCTTATTCTTACTTATAGGAGATGTCCAGATGACAGGAGGACACAGGACGAATCAAGCTAGAAGATGAGCCTTGCATGCAAATTCATCGAAGGAGATCTATCACAGCTGCCCATGCCACATGGTGCTATGACCCTCGAATGTTTACCCTGCATACACTTTTTGAAGTTTTCTCCAGTGAATTATCAGAAACCGGGTCAGACATCCAGGGTAGCAATGCTAGTTTCTGCTCTTTTACTTCATGCATATTAAACTGGTGCAGTTTACTGAAAGGTTTAATGGATTTAAACCTCCCACGCACACGTCCAAACCATCTCAGACTATCTTTACTACCTCTGCTCCTTGCACCGTCACATTTCCATTGGTCTCCCTGTCATTCACACATGTATTCTGTCTAGCTTCTATTAGACTTTCATTCCTCTTCTCTCCACACCTCCACCTTTCCAGGCTCTCTTCAAATTGCTTTCCATTCTTAGTGCAGATCACAGTGGTTTCTGCAAACCTAACAGTCCACGGAGGCTCCTGGCTGAACTCACCTGTCAGACTGCCCATCACCACTGTAAACAAGAAAAGGCTCAGAACAGATCACTGATATAATCCCTTGAAACTAAGTCACTTGTGCTGCACACCTCACACTCCTCATACTTCTCTGCCACTTCCTCATGCAGTACATCAGTTCCTCTCCTGGTACTTCTCCATCAACACTCTCAAAGCAAACATCACAGCTTTAGTGCTTTCTCAGCTGATGGTCACTCCTCTTTGCTGACCGTACAAATCAAATAAATAATAAAGAATTATTTTATTTCAGCATCAGAGATAGGGGTTTAGCACAGAACTCTGGCTCTTTAACATAAACAGCCTCTGTGGAGATCCCTTCTTTTCTTGATCTCCTACCCAGTAATTTCATACATCTACAATAACTCTGCAGAGTTTGATGTTAACTGCAAAAATAATTGAATTTGAATCTCAATTTCAAATTTGGATTCTCAAAGGTAAATGTACATGATTGGCTGAAACAGAAAATGTGTGCTTCTACAATAGAACACAAAGCAAAAGCAAACCAAGCAAACTCCTTGAATCACTACCTGATGATGTGTCTGCGTGGAAAAAGTCACAGGTACCCCACGCACACCTTAAGTTTCCTGGAGGTAGAGTCTGGATGACTTAAAAAAAATACAAAAACATTAAATTTGACACACAGAAGGTGAGGAGCTTCTCATTTGAAACAACTGAAAGCGAGCCGGTCCGGTGAGTCGGCGCATCCATCCAGTGCACAATGACACACTGAAATCACCAATGTAAATGCGGTGACTAAGGCTTCGGGAACGAGGTGAACACACTGGACAAAAGATATGTTATTCCTGCACTTATTTCACTCGCCATAGTGGGAAGACCTATGCTGCATGCAAAACATCACAGAAGGAAATAAAAGAGATCTCAATAGTGTTCTGCCATGATATTCATTCATAGGGCTGATAGCAGTTTATGTATATTGTAGTCAAGTTCAGTATGCAGTCCACTCTGTTGCGTTACTTGTAAATTTATTTTAAAAGAAATATACCTTAAACATGATGTCTGAATCTTTGTGTTGATCATCATGTCAGTTTTATAGCAAAAAGTGCTTTTCAGTCAGGCGCATTTCATTCCTTATCTCCAAAAGAAGCCAGTTTCAATATACACGAAAAGCTGAAAGGTGTGTTTTGCTATATTAACGGATTGTTGGGTAAAGTAAAAATCAGTGAATTGTAAATTATTGATGATTCGTCTCATAAGTCACGACACTGCTTTTACCTCCATAAACTGCCTTTATAAGAGGAAATTATCAGTATTGGTATTGGCAATACTCGTCCTGTAATTTTTTTTTCATATTGCATTGATACAAAAATTTGAAGTATCGCACAGCACTACCGTTAGTTTTGTTTTTTTTACCCATTAGCTCAGAATAGTAAAAAATACTTCAGTAGGGGACTGAAGTATACATTAGTGAAAAGGGCATTTTCTGCTTTGGTCTTATCTGATTGCAGAAACTGTTTCTCTACTATGCCAGAAACAATCCTCATGTGTTATGTAACATATTTATACATCGTCACCCATAAACCAGATCCGGGTTAAAACACTGAACTGCTGTTACTGCTATTATTACATTTAATCTAAAGTTGCAAAACCAGTGAGTGCTCAGATGTGCTTGTCTCCATCTAGTGGTCAATTTTATTTACTGCAAACACATTCATTCATTCCAACTTCAGTTAGAGGAAAGTTCTGGAGAAAATCCCAAGCAGTATTTCTTTGATATTTATTTGATTAGTTTTTAATTTAGAATTTAGACTCAAATTACACCGATGATTTAGATTCAGAAAAAGACACCTTCACTGTAGCTGAAATAGACAGGTACTTCTATTGCTTTTCTACTCTGAGCACTTTCTTACTACCAATTTTGTTCACTCAGTCCTACAAGTGTTTTTAACCCAACATTCACACAAGGATGGAGCAACTCAGGTATCTTGCCCAAGGATACTCTGGAGTAGCTGGGTATCAAACCAGTGACCTTCCAGTTAGTAGATAAGCTGCTTTATTTATGTAAGAGCCCACGCAGAGGCAAGATTTAGGATAAACAGACACTACAATAAAAAGAAAACTTTTTGAAAGCAGTCGACTCTCAGTCTTGTAGACATCACTGACTCATCAGGCAAGATGCAATAAAATGTTCAAAACTAAAAATGGTAAAACTGAGCATATTTGCAAATTTTATTTTAGCTCTCCAAGTTCACGAAATCATCTGTTACTTTAAATTTTTCTAAAATCTAGTTTTTATTTTAGTTAAC